TTCATCTTTTCATCTTTTATATTCTTATCATTTATATCTATTTTCAATTTATATTTATTCTCTTTTTATTTATATTATTATTAATTTTATATTTTATACTTTGATTTTATTATTATATCATTGATTATCATTTCTATATTTATTTATCATTTATTCTTTTGTTTTTCTATATTCAATCTATGTTATATATTCATATCATTTTCATTTATATTTTATCACTTATTATATGTTATAATAACATAACACATATGATTGATTATATAATAAACATCATAATGAAGTTATACATATAAATAATAAACATAAAAAATAATACAATATTTTTTTTCAATAAAACAATATTAATTATTTTGAATCATTAAATTAGACACTTATTATTGAATATTTCTAATTTTTTACATTAAAAATACACCATTTTCATTCTTTTCTTCTTTTATCATCTCTTTGTGATTTATTATTTTTATATTCTTCTTCTACTTTCTTTTTATTCTTTTATATATTTATATTCTTTTAATATTATTTGTTTTTCATTGTTTTTCTATTTCTTTCTTCTATTATTTATCACTTTTATATTCATTTATTCTTTTTATTTCTTTTTTATTAATTCTTGAGTATTGTATATTTCTTTATTATTTCATTTGTGTATTATCAAATTATATGTTTTATTGATTTTATGTTGAATAAAATATTAAATATAATCAATATTTTCATTCTTAATTATTCATTATTTAATCAGAAATGTTGTGTATATTTATTATATTAAATGAATATGATGAATGAATATCAATATTATTGTTTATTTGATTTTAAAAAATATTTTATGAATATGAAATAATAAATGAAATAAAATAATGAAGACAATGAAATGATAATGAAATAAAATAATCTAATATTGAACAAATTAAATAAAGAATATATTGAATATATCATTATTGTTACTTTATTATTTTTTATTTCAATTATTAAATATTAATAAATTATTATTCAAGAATATTTAATTGATTGATATTTTACAATTTCATTTTTATTTTATTTAATAAATGAAATATAAATAATAAATGAATGAATAATAATTTAATATATGAAATAATAAAAAGAAAAGAAAGATAAATAATAAATAAATATGATGGATTTAATATATAATATAAATTATTATCAAATATAATAATATAAAATGTTGTTTTATTTTTATTTCAAAATATTTTGCATCATTAAATTTTGCGCTTTTTTTATTGTGCTTTTTTTATTTGTTTCAATAAAATTTGCATCCTTTATTTTTTCATTCTTTTCTTCTTTTATCATCTCTTTTGTTTTATTACACTTTATATTCTTTCTTTTTATATTCTCTCCTTTCTACTTTTATTCTTTCTTCATCTTCTTCTACTTTTTACTTTCTTTTTATTCTTTTATATCATTCATTCTCTTCTTTTTCAATTATTTGCTTTTTTTCGTTGCCAAAAAATAATCTAAAAGAGCATAAAATAATGTTTATTTTATTTTATTTGAAATATTCACACTTAATGTTTTAACTCAATTATTAAATAATAAGAATGTATAAAAATGTATTATTTAAATACTAATAATATATTCAATACACAAATATTATGAATGAAATATTCATCATATTATAATGTAATATATTATTTTATATTATCATAATATGTACTGAAAGTAATACAGTCAACCCATTAAATTAATTTTTCTTCAACTACAATTATTATAATACTACTCTTAAAAAAGACATTTAATTTCTAATTTATTGTTTCATTATCTTATATAATTATATATTTATTTCATTAAATTGTAGTATTTTATCTATAATAATTATTCATTTTATTGGTATTATATTAATTATTAAAATAATTGCAAAACATTTTTATCTCTATAAAATATCATTTAAAATAAAAATACTTATATCAATTTATAATAATATAATAAAAACATTTATTTTACTCTAATTTATTGTTCTATTAATGTATATAATATTAATAATGATTTTTGTTTTGAAATAATATTATAAATTTATGTTTTTATGATTTTCTTTTTTTTTTAGTTATATTATGTTTAAAATATTAAGTTCAATAAATATTATTTGAACTTTGCTTCTTTTTACCTTCTTTTATGTCAGATTTATTATTGATAGTAATTTATCCTTGCGTTATTTATAAAATCATTTGTTGTTTTGAAAAACACTTTTTAATATATTGTTTTATATTATTAACTTTTCACAAAAAAACTGTTTGTTATGTAAGACAAAAACTTAAAAAGTAAAGATCTTAAACCAAAAAAGAAACAAAAAGAAAAGTAGTGAGAATGACAACACAACCATTATGTGAATCAAACCTTCAGTTTTTAGGAGGACACATTATCTGTGTTAGTGGCTATAGTGTTTGGTATATTTTTTATTATACTCCAAAAGTATTAATATTATAGAGCGATGAACGGTTGTTACTTCGTGGAATGGTTGAATTGTGTGGTGGTATTTACATGGAAGATATGGAAAGTAAATCAGTGACTTTTTTATTATCAAAGGGGTTGACAAGTGATAAAGCAAGTCATGCTTTACGATGGGGAGTTCCGGTGTTATCTCACCAATGGCTATTTGATTGTATAGCTGAACGACGTCTTCTTTCTATTAATCAATATGTCCTCAATTTTGATATGTAACGATTGTCTGTAATTTATTTCACTGATAACTTGATTTATTACAACCTTATCTTCATTTTCCTAAATAATTTTATTTTTGTTAAAATAAAAGAAAATGACTAAATCATATCATCTTAAATACAAGAACTTTAACATTCTTAAAAGTCATTTAGTGATAGAAACAAAATGTTCTTACCTATTTTAAGACATTGGACTTATTATCACATTTCGTAAAGAATATAAATAAAACTTAATTTGAAATGAAACTACATTTGTTTTAGGTATCTTAAATGTACAAAAGAAGAAGAAAAATAAATGTTTACAAGAACAATAAAATAGTTGTAAAAAAAAAGAGGTTTTTAGTTTTGTTGATATTTGTAGTATTAATAAACAATAAAGTCAATTATATCTTAAAAATAAAAAGATATAATCTTATTTTTAACTATTTTGTTATTTAAAAGAAAAGAGAAAAAAGTTATGGAGAAAGAATAAGAGAAATCAATTGTTAGAATATTATAATAACTTAATAATTTTTTATCTCGTTTTATAAATCAAAATTTATTTCTCTTTTATTAATGAATTGTTTACAACTCTCAGAAGAAATTATTCATTTGTTAATTAAGAAGCATTTAACTTTTTCTTCAGCAGAAAGTTGTAGTGCTGGAAGAATTACATCAAACTTAACTTCTGTTCCAGGGTCATCAGCTGTTATTCGTGGAGGTATTGTTGCTTATTGTAATGAAGTTAAGGCCCAAGTTCTTGGTGTATCTCAAGAAAGTATTAATAAATATACAGAAGTGAGTTATGTTGTTGCACAAGAGATGGCAGAAAGAGTAAAACAAATTATGAAGTCTGATTGTTCTGCTTCTATCACAGGATATGCAGGACCATCACCATCATTAGAAGAAAGTAAAGTTGGGTTAATTTATATTTGTGTGATTGTAAAAGAAAGAATTGAAAAGAGAGAATTACGTCTTAAATCAGACCGTTTGAGTAATGTCAATGAAGCAACAAGACAAGTTTTATCTTTATTACTTGAATTATTAAAAGAAGAATAAAAAAAATTAATTAGAAGTTGTTTTTTTAAGCATTTGTCTTCCAATTTCACCAGAACGAATTTTATCAATAATTTCAACCATCAAATTAGTTTCATTTTCTGATAAACAATTACCTCTTGTCATTCTCATTCTTTTCATTTGTTCATATGCATTAATTTTTATTAATGCTTTACTCATTAATAAATGTGCATGGAATGTAGAAATTAAACCAAAGAAAATTTTTGTATCAAAATAATCGAGATGTTCAGTAGTTCCCATACACCATGAAACTAAGGAATAAAATGAAGATTGTGTTCTTTCTCCCATTTCTAAAATTTCTAATGCTTTATTCTTAACTCTACCAACTTCACTAGAAGCAATATTTAAATCATCTTCAGCCAATTCTTTCATTATATCTTTTAAATTATTTAATTCATCAATTAAAGAATGAGTCATATCAAGTTGTTCTTTTAATTCAACAAGAATTGCTGGTTTACATTCATTAAATTCACGTAATAAAATCTTAATATTAGAAAGATTTGAAATGATACAATCTAATAGCGTTTCATTAGTATTAGTTTTAAGATCTTTTAGTTTTAAAAGACAAGTTAAATCAAATCCTTTATTGCTATCAAATAAGTTGAGTTGATGATTATAAGAAGTAATAATAGTTAATACTTCTTTAAATCCAAAACTTTTTTTAAGTACTTTAATTGCAGTTTCAATACAAGATATTTTTTCATTAACTTCATCTAATCTTTTTTCTAAAACAGTAACTTGTGACCAAATAGCAATTTTAGTAGGTAAATTTTTAGCTAAAGCTAATCTTTTTAATAAAGTTTCTGGTATATTTAATGTTTTTGAACTAAATAATTGAAAAGCTTCTGCTTCAGTAGGAATAATTTTTTTAACTAATTCAAATGTTTTAGTATCAAATGTTTTAGAATACATATGAGTGAATGCTTCAAAGAATTTTGATTCATTTGGTTGTTTTGCAAATAAAATAGAAAGAGCAATTAATTTTGAAGGGTCTAAAATGAAAGAGATATTAGTAACTGAGACTGAAGTAAGAAAAGAAGTTTGTAATTGTTTTTCTCTAACATGAAGAATTTTAATATCATCCCAAATAGTTGGTTTTTTTGGATTTGGAGTAAAAAGAATACGTCTCCAAGGGATTCTAATAATATTATGTTGTGGAGGAAGTTCAGGTTTTCTAAAATGTTGATTATCAGAAGGTTTTCTATTAATTGTTCTTCTTGTTTCAAGGAATTTAGTCATTCTAACTTTTCCTCTAGGTGAATTTTTATTTAAAGAAAGTGTTGAATTTCCAAAAGAAGAATTTGTTATTTTTAAATGTTTTTCTTTCATTTCTTCAATTTGAGAATTTAAAGCAATTTTTTCTTTTTCAACACTTTCAACTAATACTTTATATTTAACCCATTCTTTTTTAATTTCATCATCTGTCATATTTTTAATTAATTTTAAAATATTTTTTCTTAATACATGTTCTTTTAATGGTTCTATTTCTTTTTCTAATGAATTTGTTTGTTGTTTCATTAATTCTAATTCATCATTAAGAATAGGTATTTTCATTTGAATAGTTTCTATTTCTTTTTTAATAATTTCAATGGTTCTTTTCTTAGAAATATTTTCATTTTTAACTCTTTTCATTCTATCTTGTTCTTTTTTGATCATTTTGGCTAATGACTTTTTTTCTTTTCTTACATCGTCTCCATAAAAATATTTCTCTAATAATGTTATTTGCTCTTTAAGTTCTTTTTTACTTCCTCCAGATTTTAGTTCTTCTACTATTTTATGAACTCCTTGATATTTTAATTTAGTTCGAATTCCATATTTTTTTTCTTGTGGTGCAACATGTAAAATTCCATATAACAATGTTAATGAATTTCCAACAGTTTCTATATCTCCACTTTTTAACAATTTAACAACATTTGCTAAAGGTAATTCGTCTCTGTCTTTTGCTCTCTCTTTTACAATCTTCCACATGATATTAAATCCTCCATAATGAATAGCAACAAAAAGTAATTCAAGTGATTGTCTACAAACACTTGCAATTACTCCTTCATCAATCATTGAAAATAAAAATCGTATAATCTTTTCATTCTTTACTACTTCATTCATTCCACTATCAAAACTCATTGCACTTCTTAATATAGTTAATCCATAACTTTGTACATTTCCTTCATATTTCATTATTTTTTCTAAAATAAGTCCAATACCTCCTAATCGTGTAAATTCACTTACAAACATCGTTAACGTTATTTTTTGTCTCATAAAAAATAATACTCTTTTTAATACTTCTGCATTTGATGCTTTTTGTAATTGATCAAATGCTTGACGTGCTGCAAAATCTAATGCAAGTGAAAGTGAAATTGTTGATTTTTCTGGAATTGTTTGAAGTGTAGTTGGTGTAATAGGTAATCCGTTCAAAAAAATTGAATAATTGTCTGAGTCTTTTAAATTAATTTTAGTACAAATATCAAAAATAAGTTCATTAAGTATTAAAACTGGATTAATTTGATATTCAAATGTTTTTGGGGGTACATTAGGAATGTCAGTAATAACAATAACATTTTTTGGTTTCATTGTTCAATTAAATATATTCAACTAATTATTGAGATTATTCATATCAAAAAAAAGTAATCTTTAAATAATTATCAAAAAAATCTTCTACCTCTAAAAAATTATATCAAAAATAAAATCATATAACTTAAAAATCAAAACTTTATTTTCATTTTTTTTTTAAAGAGAAGCATTACTGTTGTTCAAGTCTTTTCTTTAAACGTTCAAAAATTTTATTTTGATGTTCAACACCAACACTTGTTTCTTTAATTCTAACTATTTCACCTTCTTTAAAGTCTTCAGGAATTTCTTTAGGAATATTGATATTTTCTGAAGGGGTATTTCCTATTCCATAATAATTTTGATATTCATCATCATCACACATTTCCATTTTAATATGTTTTGTATTTATGTTAGATGAAAGGTTCTGAGTTTTTCTTTGATATTCATTCAATCCATTTTTATCCCAAAAAGGTTGAGGATAAGGGACATATTCTTTAATTTTAAATGAGTCTTTAAATTTATAGACGTTTGGCTCTCTTGTTTTTAATACATCAACAAGTTCTTTAAAAGTAGTTGCTGTAAAGAAGATTTTAGGAATTTCAGGTAATTCACCTTTAAAAATAGAATTAATTTTTATTTGTTTTAATGTAGAATTTTCTTTAAAATATTCAGCAATTGCTTTTCTAATTTCTTTGTCTTGTTCATTTTTTGTTTTAGTTTTAAATGATTCTGTGTTATTTAAATCATTTTCTATTTTTTGAATCACAAAATTCATTCCAACTTCTTCTAAAGAACCACCAATAATAACATCCGCAAGACAATCAGCAGAATTTAAAGCAATAAATTGACCTCCTGTCATCATAGCAACTGCTCTCATTAAATCTCTAAAATGTCTATAAATTGGTCTAATAGGTTCACAAGCAACTGAATAAATTTGAATATCATTTTTTATTGCTTTTAATACAACTTCTTGAAAATCAATTCCACATGGACATCCATTAGGATATCCATCATATTGAATATTAAATCCATGTGGTGGTGCATCAGCAATCCAAATGATTACTTTAGCTGCATACCCTCTATACCCAAGATTAACTGCACAATCAAATGCACAAGTAACTGATTCAGGTCCATCCATTCCACCTCCATATGCACTTAATTGATTAATTGCATTTTGAATATCTTTTATATCATTCATCCAATCATATTTTTTTAATGCAAATTGTTGTTGATTTGGTTGATGGTCTTTATATTCTACAATAGCAAATCTTAAATCTATTTTCTCTGAATTTGTTATTGTATTAACTATTTTATTTATATTGCTTTGTGCTGAATGTAGATATTGTCCCATTGATCCTGTTGTATCTACTAAAAGTACAAGGTCGAGCTGTCTTGCCATTCTTGTTTTATAATTTTATTTTTTTTAAGTTTTGAATGTCTTGTTATTTTTCATTTTTATTTATGAAATATTAACTTTTTCTTTTTTTATATAGTAAAAACTCCCTTTTTATTATTCCTCAATTTTATTCTTTAAATATCGCTTTATATCAAAACTCTTTTCATTTTATTCAACATTTACTCTTCTTTGTGTTGTTCTGTGAGTGTCATTAATAAGATTAAATTATTTAAACAATAAAAATTATTTTAATGTATAGAACAATTCTATTCAAGTTATTCTAATAATACAATAAGAATAGTTGATTTCAATGTATCATAGCGTATATTGAAAATGTATCAGAAAGTTTAATAAAAATAATATTGAAGTGGAATTGAAAGAAATAAGGTTAATGGATTGAATAGTTAATTAAAATAATGATTTTGGTGCCATTCTTTAAATCTTTCTCAACAGAATAATACAGTCTAATAAATTATTGATGTACTTTTTATTTTGTAATGAGAGAGAAAAATTTTATGAACTAAAAACACAAAACATCTATAAAAATTACAACAATTATATTTAAATCCTATAGAAATAGTAGAATGACATTATTTGAAGAAGGGTAAGTGCTTTATTTGACAACAACACGAATCCATTTAAGAATATTAATGAATAAAACGGTATATTCTAAATTAAATGACTAAGAACACAAAGAAATAAAAAGATAAACAAACAACAAATATAATGATATGAATTGGACAATAATTGGTAATAACAAATGAATAATTTACTGAAATAGTGAATTAATGTTAATATTCAGAAATGAAAATAAACAATAAATAAGCAATAAGTTATGAAAGAAATAAGATATAATATAAAATAAGAAGATAGAAAATACGAAAAAAAAATAAATGATGTGTAATGAAGTTAATAAAAGAAGAAAAACTAGCAAAAATTTGAACGAAAATGATAAGAAGTACAAAAGAAAAAGAATAAATAAAAGAAACGACTTAACTCTGAGAAAATAATTGAAAAGAAAGAAACTAAGAAAAGAAGA